CAAAAGATCTTTTGGAAACTCTCCTCTCTCCCTCAGGGCTCTCCAAACTTCGGCAATTTAAGACTTGTGGACTTCAACTCCCAGAATTCCACAAGCCTTAAAAATGGCCAAGTCCATTGGAGAGCTTTGCTCTAGGTGGGAGTCGCCTCCTCCCAAGGAAACGTCCTCGGTTCCCACACTTCAGTGTCAGTTTCCCCCAGGCACCTTCCCCCCCTCCCTCCAGCCCCCCCACCCCCACCCCGCCCAGGTTCTTGGCAGGCCGGCAGTGAGTTCTGACGGGTGGGATCCAATGCTAAGGCCATAAAGGTAGTCCTCCCTTGAACTACTATCTGTTTAGTGACCGTTCAAAGTTACAAAAGCGGGGGGGGGGGGGAAACTGGTCCTCTGTCGCGTGATCAAAATTCAGGCACTTGGCAAACCAACATGTATTTACGACAGTTGCAGAGTCCCGGGGTCACGTGACCCAGGCGGCTTCCAATCAAGAAAGTCAACAGGGGACGCTGGATTCACTTAACAATTGCAGTGACTTGTTTAACAACGGTGGCCAAAAAAAAAAGATCATAAAAGCGAGTGTGACTCACTTAACAACTGCCTTGTTTAACGATGGGCATTCTGGTCACAAGCGCAGTCACCGTCAGACCCGCCTCAGCTTAGACGTTTTGGAAAGGGAGACTCTCGACTCCCGTCTGTTTGAAGCGATGGGCACTTTTAGTCAGGCGAAGCGTTTGCAGTGGAAGAGAAGCCGGATCTGAATATTCCCACGCAAAGGCTACTTTCCCCGGCCCCTCCCCTTTTGACCAGTTCATCCAATAGGAGGCTCTTTTGATGTTTTGGGAAGGGCTCAGGAGTTTGGCACCCCTCGTTCACGCCAGGAGTCCTGGGAGGCCGCTTCATACCTTCCCCTTCTCAGGCCCACATCTTGCTGCCCCCAATCCCTCCCCTCCCTCGCTATCTATGGCAGGTGACCAGTGAAGTGAAGAGCCAAAGGGGGCAGATCAGGCCAGCCTCGGACGAGGAACACCGGTGCAGGTGTCCATATTTGCCCCGCACAGACGCCGGTTAAATGCACCCATCAATGAGGGCCGTGTGGAGCCCTCAGTCATCTGCCCAACCACCGGTTGCCCATTTGACCTCGTTAAGTGAGCTTTTCCCCATTTTACAACCTTTCTTGCCACAGTTGTTAAGTGAATCACTGCAGTTATGCTAGCAACGTGGTTGTTAAGTGAATCTGGCTTCCCCNGAAGGAAGGAAGGAAGGAAGGAAGGAAATGGCAGTGATGAGACAGCCATGCCCAGCCCTGGGTAGGAGGGCCTTTCCGGAGTCTCTGCCATGGGCTGCCCATCTGACCTGGCCTTCTTGCCCACTCAGAAGCTACGTGTCCCCCCCCCACATGATCCATGGAGCTTGGCATGGGCATTGGGGGGCCGAGCACCAAAAGAGCCAGCCAGTGCGGTGCCCCAGAGGCTTCAACCTGGTCCCTGAGACTCTGGACGCAGCCCTCCCTTTGCCCATTGCAAAGCCCTGGGACAAAGAGGTGGCATAGAGAGAGGAATCCAAGCCATCCGTGGGGAGGGCAAAGAGCAGCCATGCCCCACCAAAGGTTTGCCCTCCTCTCCAGGGCTGGCCGAGGGCTGGGCAATGATGGCAAAGGGACGGGCATCACCCTGAGCCTCCCACCAGTCGGAGCAGAATGGCTATGCCAACTTCCCTGCCAAGCCCTCCTGGCCTTGGACCAGGCCGTCCTGCAGCCGCCATCCTTCGCCTGGTCAATCGGCCAGCTGGCCAAAGTGAGTTTGCCCAACCCCCTTCGGCCCACCAGCCTCTCCAGGCCAAGCAGCTGAGCTCAGCCTGTGGGGACCCTTGAGCAGGTGAGCAGAGAGTTTCCGCAGGTGGAGGAAGGGGCCAGGTAGGGTTGCATCTGCAGCTGAGGAGGCTGGCTCCTGCTTGGGAGTAGCCCCCTGCCCTATTCCCAACGGCCCCCTCCCCAGGGCAGACCCTCACCTCTTCCTCCTGGCTGTATTCATTGACGGTCAGGATGAGCTTGATGCCTTGAAGGCTGATCTCCAGGTCACAGGTGGACGGAGGTCTCAGGTGGACGGTCAGCTTCCGGGTGGTAGCGATCTGCAGAGAGGAGCAGGTGGCAGGCGGGACCCTGCACGGAAGACCCTCCCCCACGGGACTCACCCTCAGGCTAGCCTCAGCCTGTTCACTGGGCCAGGATAACCAGGGGTTGGGATCAGGGATGGAGACATCACGCAAGGCTTCCTCCCGGCACTGGCTCTGCCCAGCCAGCTGGAGAAGACAACCAGCCTTGAAAAAGGACTGGCAGAAACGGGAGGCCAACCGACCAAGATCCACACCCAAGGAGGAGCCCCCCCCCCCCNGAGGGGGGAGCCAGAGCGTCGAGGCCAGGCAAAGCCGGGAGGAGGCAGGGAGCAGGATGGGGAGGCACTGCCCTCCCCCAAAAGGAGGACGGAAGGGAGGCTGAGGGGGGGGGGGCTGGCAGGTGGGAGCCCTTTCCCCAGGCAAGCTTCTTCCAGGGAGGGGCCCTCCATGCTGGGCCTCCCTCCCAGCCTTCCTTCCAGCCCAAACAAGGACCTCATACAAAGGCCATAATTCTTGGGAAGCCCCCCCACCCCCCACCCCCAAACAAGCATGAAAGCCGCTACATCCCCCCTCCTCCTCCGCGCCCCCATTTCCCCCCTACCTACCAAGCGCCCTCTGGGAGGCTGGCCTCCGGCTGCTCCCCTGGCCACATGGGGACTTGGGGGTGGGGTGGGGAATTAGGAAAGGGGGAGAGGGGGCAAGATGCCCACCAGACTAGCCTGGGCCCCAGAGCCCCCCAACGCCAGCCCCCCCCCGCGTGCAGGGAAGTCGTGGGCTGGGCCTCCTGGCAGCAGTTGGGCCTCTGGTCCGTCTCTCTGGAGGGGCGTGAAACTGGGGAGGGGGGAGGGGCCGCCCTCCAGCTCACGTCCTACTCCAGGTAAATGTCTTCTGTGGGGCAAGCAAACTCAAGGTGCTCCTGGTAGTATTCCTGGAAGGCGCGGCTACAAAGAGGAGGAAGAGCTGAGTTAGTCGCACCCCTGTTGAGTGGGGGAGAAGGCCACGCATGCCTGCCCTCCCCCACTTACCTGGGAGCCCCCAGACAAAGGGGAGAACCCAGGCATGCATGCACACGTCCAGGCCCCCCCCTTCCTTTAAAGGAGGCCAAACTCCCCCCCCAAGAGAAAAAACATGCAGTTTGGCCCCACGTGTCCACAGGAGTCACGAGGGTCTCCCACAGCCCTCGCTTCCACCCCCACCAGGGGTACCACTTCAGGCCAAGTCCCAGCAGCCTTGCAAGGGATGTGGGGCTGCCCTGTGCCATAAGGTGCCAGGGGAGGGGCTGCTGCTGCTGCTATGCAGACCCCTCCCTGGGTGAGGTCACCTCTTTGGGCAACCACAGGCTGGGGGGACTCGGAGTTGGTGCCATCCGAATCAGATGGCTCTGCACGCCCAAGAGGACCCCACCTCACTCCTCTCGAGGGGCCCGGCGGGATCCGTAGGAATCTTCACCCGGCCCAGCCCCACAGGCACCCCGGCAAAGGAGGGGAGGGGGCAGAATTGCTGGGGGCATCTGCTCTCCCTTCGTGGCTGGACAAGGTTGGGGGGGGCTCCTGGGCACCTGGCACTTGGGCAATCTTGCCAGTTGGGGTCCTCCCACCCGAAGGGTTGCTGGGCCATGGAGGGCTGGGCTGCCGGTTGCTGCTGGGCCCCCTCCGCCTTCTTGGGGGCACCGGCTGCAGCAGCGCCTCCCCCTCACTTACCCCACACACTCGGCCACAGGCCGCATGGACTCCTGCGAGACGAAGACGTGGCAGGCGAAGCGGCTCAGGACAGGGTGCTTGGTGATGAACCCAAAATAGCTGCAGGGGGAGAGCAGCGGTGGTGAGTCCAAGCGGGCAGAGCAGCCCCACGGCTCCCCCAAGGGGGAGGGCTAAAGGGCCCATCTGTGAAGTTGGGAGGGGCCGGGGGAAGGGAGGGAGGCCGGCTGCTCGGAAGAGTCTGGCCACTGGCTGGTGCCAACGCTGCCTCCTTGGCTCTGCTCTGTGTGCCTTTGCCCACCTTTCCCACCGCAGAGCCTTCGCTGAGCAGTGCCAGCAGCTGCCACAGAGCGAGCAGCCCCACAAGAGGCTCCAGTGGCCCATTTGCACAGAGAGGGGCCCCCACCACCACCTGTGCCCTTCCCTCCATGGGGGCAGAACCTGCTCATTCAGCCCGTGCCATCCCAAGCGGGCATCCCTTGCAGAAGGAGCCACTCACCAGCTATTGCGAGGGTGGCAGCCGCAGAAGGAGACATTCTTCATCTGGAAGAAATGGCTGCAGCGCTCCAACTAGGAGGAAAGAAGGAAGGAAGGAAGGAAGGA